GATCAGTTGCCTTCTCCTTCCATTTCTCTCAGCCTTGCCAGGTTTAATAATTTCTCCACTCAGTACACGTGCTCAAAGCATGTGAATTTCTGCTTGCTGATAGTCACAACTAGGGAATAAACAAACTTTATCTGATCCAAAGCAGATGGATTGGTACTTCGCCCAGCTCATGGTTTGGTAATTATGTCCAAATTTGTCATTTAAATTTTAACATCTCTTCTCTTGTTCTTTCTCAAAGTTTCATATAATCATCTGTTGCCACTAAAAAAATATCTTATGTCGTTAGCTAACGTACATTGTAGAGTAGCTATGAGTATACAATAAAAGAGGACTGGGTAGTCTATGCCAGGTTTTTTTCAACCTTCATAACTTTAAGGTGTGTGGCAGTGGTGGGATTCAATTTTTTTTTACTACTGATTATGTGGGTGTGGCGTGGTGGGCGTGGTGTGGCTTGGTGGGCAGGGGAAGGATACTGCAAAATCTCCATTCTCACCCCACTCCATGGTTGGTGAGCATGGCTGGCTGAGGAATTCTGAAAACTGAAATCCACACATCTTAAAGTTGTCAAGGTTCAGAAACACTGGTCTATGACTCACTGGTAGAAGAATGATATATACATGGATTTAATAACATTTCGGGGAAATTAATAAGAGGTGAAAAGTTGTGGCTGCCCAGATGTTCTTGGAGATCATTGTCTACAATTACTATGCTGTCCAGGAGCTGTTGGAGATTGAACCCGTTTCCCCAGCCTCACTTAAAATAGAGCAGAAGAAAGTTATCTTCATTATGCTTTTAGTTGTTCTTCTCACCCTACCCTCACCGGTAATGTTATACACACATACACGTACATATATACATTTCTGCTTTGGCTCCCTACTGGGACTAGCAATTGCAAAAACACTCAGGAAGCCTATTTTCCTGAATCTTAATAAACCTGAGTCCTCTTGACAAATATTAGCAAATTCAAGGTTTGCAACCTCTCCAGAGAGGAAGGAAAATATTATTGTCTACATTGATCAGATGAAGAACTAAAGCTATGCAGAAGCTAGCGACTAATTTTCAATCAAAGAACAAGTGCCTTCAGGGAATAAAAATACCCAGATTCCCGCTTGGGGGAAACAGGTACCCTGTGGCTTCACAACAGAATAAAAAGAGATAGCATGCATCTGGAGTTATTGAAAGGATGGAATTCTTCTCTTTATTCCCAAACTAAGCACTGACTGAGCTTAATTCAGTATTATAATCACAGCCTCGCTGAAGAGAAAGTTTTAATCTTTTTCTTCAGGATCTTATTCGTCAGCCTCCACCAAGAGATATTCTGGGCTGCAGTTTCTCCAATTTATTCCTTGTTGCATTGCTCCCTGAATTCGAGATGTTCTCAAAAAGATTGGAATTTTCACTGCTTTATTAGGTCTTGAAAGAGGTAGGGGGATAAATCAATTAATTTCTGCCGAACCTTTCGCAGATAGTAGATGCAATGGGAAAAATAATCAACTTTGATAATTTTCTTTTCTTGGAAGATCAGCAACACCGGTTGGAAATACACATAGCTCCTTCTGGTAGATTGCTAATACATTTTGTTAAAATTTAATTTTGATGAATGGCAAGGACTCAATCTGAGGATGAGTAAGCCACCTATTGAAATAGAGGTCTTTCATTCATTCCCATTCTAGGCTATTATGTTAATGATGTTGAAAAATCTATATTGTTCATATTCTCTTTAAGGTCAGGTCATAATTTTCCTTGGGATATGTAATTTTCATGTACAAAGCAACTTACAAACCCTTGAAAAACATCCTGCATGCAGATGCACCTGTTTTTAATCAATGCATCAAGCTTTCCTAGGGTTGAACTCAACTCTCCAGTAACTAGTTCTACCTGGACATTTCCATGCTATTTTCCTAGCAATGTTACCAAATTGACGGATCATTCTTAATTTTCAAATACTGTAAGGAAGTTTTATTTTTTTTAAAAAACACTCTTCCAACTATAGTCTATAGCGCTGGTATTCTTCCCTCGAAGTCTTCCATCTAACTTCAAGCAAGGATAGTCAGACCTATATAAATTAATGCAACTCTTAATGCATTAAATCTCCAAAAGAATAGAAAGGAAAGTTTCTGCATGTTTTCCAATATCTTAGGGATCTATACATTCTGTTGCGTTAGCCACAATTAAACTAGTTCTTTGTGTTTTCCCAGATGTTGTTCCGCAACAATTCTCCTCCATTAACAACCAAGAGAAAGAAAGAGTAGAAGAACAGAGCTGGAAGGCATCTTGGAGGTCTTCTAGTCCAACCCCCTGCCTAGGCAGGAAGCACTCTACCATTTCAGACAAATGGCTGTCCAATTTCTTCTTTAAAATTTCCAGTGTTGGAGCATTCACAACTTCTGGAGGCAAGTTGTTCCACTGGTTAATTGTTCTCACTGTCAGGAAATGTCTCCTGAGTTCTAGGTTGCTTCTCTCCTTGATTAGTTTCCACCCATTGCTTCTTGTCCTGCCTTCAGGTGCTTTGGAGAATAGCCCGACTCCCTCTTTTTTGGAGGTAGCCCCTGAGATATTGGGACACTGCTATCATGACACCCCTAGTCCTTCTTTTCATCAAGATTACAGTCCTACTTCACTCTTGAGGTCATGGAGCCTTCTTGTTCCATTCCATCGTTCTTGTATTTCTTAAGCCTCACTCCGAGAGCAACGCCCCCCCCCCCCCCGATCAGAATTTGAATCTTGAAAACATCTTACAAAATAGGTTGCCATGGAGAACTTGGCTAATTCCCCCAATGTCTTCCACAGAGGGACAGCTGGTTGCAAAACTTCAATTCAGCAAAAGGTAAAATGGCGAAATGGCCCCACACCCTTCCTTAGATTCCAGGATGCTGGCTTGTCCCTACCCCGCCTTGACTTATATTTCTGTTTGGGAGTCAGGGAAAAGAACACACTTTCCAAATAAATTGGTGAACTGCGGCTCCCTATTGCTGATTTTCTAAAAGTGCTTATGGAAGCCTCAAGGCCCAGAGGCATTCTTGTAAATAAAGGTAATGCTAGAAGCTAACAATTTGCTTCACAGCAGGCTGGTTTCCGTTTCAATCATCCTCATTTTTTTCCCCCTCTCCCAAGCCACGGGTTTCAGGAGAGGGACAAACAGTCTTTATCAAAGGCCTGCACTCATCTCTTACAAATGGATTTTTGAATTAGCCCGAGAGTCACAGGTTGTCCTTGGGTCAAATCCAAAGCGCTACTCTCCGCAATGAGCTATTATAACTCCAACTTTTTGATTTGTTAGCACCCTGGAACCCATCAGGCATTCCATTGACCCGCAGAAGGTCCATTGTTGTCATCGCCTGCCTTGCTTAGGTCCATCGCTGATGAGATTGGGATAGTCTGCTTGACAGTTAGCTATTCCTTTCAACCCAGCAAAAAGAAAGTCAAGTGCCCAACAAGAAATATCTGACATTGGGGGTGGGGGGGTCTATGGTCCTGCTAAGTTTCTCTTCCTTTCATCTAGGAAGGTCCGTGGATAGAATAGAATAGAATAGAATAACAGAGTTGGAATGGACCTTGGAGGTCTTCTAGTCCAACCTCCTGCTTAGATAGGAAACCTTATACCATATGAAATGGGAGCTTAATCATTTATAATGGGAGCTTCATCACTTGAGACTTTCAAGAAGAGATTGGACTGCATTTGTCAGAAATGGTGTAGGGTTTCCTGCTTGGGCAGGAGATTGGGCTAGATGACTTACAAGATCCCTTCCAACTATGTTCATCCGATTTATTTCAGACAAATAGTTAACCGATGTCTTCTTTAAAACTTCCAGTATTTGAGCATTCACAACTTCTTTAGGAAAGCCGTTCCACTGATGAATTGTTCTGTCAGAAAATGTCTCCTTGGTTCTAGGCTGATTCTCTCCTTGATTAGTTTCCATCCATTACTTCTTATTCTGCTTTGAAAAATAGCTTGACTCCCTCTTCTTTGTGGCAGCGCCTGAGATAATGGACCACTGCTATCATGTCTCCCCTAATCCTTATTTTCATTAGACTAGACGTACCCAGTTCCTGCAACCATTCTTCATATGTTTTAGCCTTCAGTCCCCTAATCCTCTTTGTTGCTCTTCTCTACACTCTTTCTACAGTCTCAACATCTGTTTTACATCGGGGCAACCAAAACTGCAGTATCCCAAGTGTGGCTTTACCAGGGCATTATAAAGTGGTATTAACACTTCACATGATCTTGATTCTATTCCTCTGTTGATGCAGCCTAGGACTGTTAGGACGTTGGTGCTTATTTCTCTTCCAGGTGTTTGTTGAGGGGCAGTTTAAATCTCTGGAGATACAGAACAAGGTGGCAGCAAAGAGAAATCAAAGTTATTTATCACTCTGCTCAGTAAAACAGATGTGGATAGGCAAGCTGTTCCTTCCCAGGATTTCCTCCCACCCCTTCCATACAGAAATGTATGTTCTCGAATGCTGCTGGTGATTCCTGCAAATGTAATGTGTAAGAAAGGTCTAGCAGTGTGCTTTTTACCAGATGGGTGCCCATATGGTTCGCCTCTCCCCATGCATCCATTTTGCACATATGCCTGTTGGGTGGGTACATTTGCCTCCCTTCGGTTTGTAGGAAACCGTTGCGCTATTTAACAATATTAGGGGCTAATTTCATCTCTTGTTTCTTTTTGGAGTTGCCTGATTGAGCTCTGAACATTGCAGACTGTGCTTTTAGGAGCCTTCCTTCCAGATCTGCTTTGGTAAGAGTGGAATCATATCACAAAGACTTCAAGAGAGTCTTTTTCCAAGCTGCATCCAGTCACACAAAAGAAGGTTGAAAATTGGGGTGAAGACACAGCCTTTCCCAGCATTTAGCAATAGCACTTTGACTTATATACTGCTTCACAGTGCTTTACAGCCCTCTCTAAGTGGTTTACAGAGTCGGCATCTTGCCCCCAACAATCTGGGTCCTCATTTTGCTGACTTCGGAAGGATGGGAGGCCGAGTCAACCTTGAAACTGGTGAGATTTGAACTGCCAAATTGCAGGCAGTTGGCAGTCAGCAGAAGTAGCCTGCAGTACTGCACTCTTACCACTGTGCCACTCTTCATTTAGTGTGCTCATTTGTTTATTTCATTTCATTTACCCTTCTTTTAGCAGTGTTCCAATATGTGAAGGGCCTCCACAGAGAGGAGGGGGGGTCAACCTATTTTCCAAAGCACCTGAAGGCCAGACAAGGAATAATGAATGGAAACTGACCAAGGAGAGATTCAACCTAGAAATAGGGAAAAACTTTCTGACAGTGAGAACAATCAACCAATGGAACAGAAGTTGCCTTCAGAAGTTGTGGGAGCTTCATCACTGGAGGCTTTCAAGAAGAGACTGGACTGCCATTGGTCAGAAATCATGTAGGATCTCCTGCCTGGGTAGAGGGGTTGGATTAGTTGACCTACACGTTCTCTTCCAATTCTGTTATTCTGTTAAATGTATCTCACAAACCTTCCCCCTCCTATTTTTAGCACATCAATAACTCTATGTGGTGGATTGGGCTGAGAAAGATTTTGGCCAAAAGTCACGCAGCTGACTTTCATGACTAAGTCAGGATTTGAATTCATAGTCTCTTACTTTCTAGCCTGATGCTTTAACCATTAGACCAAGCCTATGCAACAGTGACAATATTAATAACAACAAAAGGTAAATAACAAGGCAGGTAAGTCAGGAATGGCAATCCTATAGTATATATGTTTTATATATTTATTTCACTTTTTTTATGCTGCCTGACTTCCAGTGACTCTGGGCAATTGTAAAAATTATACACTTATTACTTTTCATTTTTAATGTTGCTATTTTTGTGCTAAATTAATTCATTTTAAAAAAAATGAAAATGTAAAAATGAAACATAATCATCTTTGGGTGAAATCTTCCAGCCTTATCCAGATGGACTCTTAGCTCCAGAGGTTTCTACTCATAAGCAATTAAGTACAGAAAACCTCTTTGCAAAATTATGGTATGAACATATGAAAATTTTGGCCTAATTTTTTTGGTCCCCACTTTTGGTCGCCACATTGCAAAAAAGATGTTGAGACTTTGGAAAAAGTGGAGAGAAATGCAACTAAGATGATTAGGGACCTGGAGACTAAAACATATGATGAAAAATGGCAGGAATTGGATATATCTCATCTGTTGGAAAGAAGGACTAGGGGTGACATAATAGTAGCATTCTAGTATTTGAGGAGCTGCCACAAAGAAGAGACAGTCAACTTATTTTTCAAAGCACATAGTAGGCAAGACAAGAAACAATGGTGAGAAGCAATGTAGATCTAAGGAGAAATTTCCTGACAGTTAGAACAATTGATCATTGGAATGATTTGTCTTCAGAAGTTTTGGATTCTTCAACACCTGGAGGTTTTTAAGAAGAGACTCAACAACCACTATCCTGCTTGAGCAGGCGGTTGGACTAGAAGAGTTCCAAAGTCCCTTCCAGTTCTACTCTGATTGATTGAATAACCCATATGAGCACCTATGATATGGGTAAGGCATTCCAGTCCACCCACAATCATTGAGCCTATCGATGTCCATCTAAGTATATTTAATGAGTAAATACCAACTTTTACTTTAGATGCATGCCTTTTCACACATTCATATTTGAGCAGTTGGATGCACATAAAGTGCCAGATTTTTTTAAAAATTTTTTGCAACTTTGACAAAGTGTAAAATATAGTCGAAAGTTAAATTTGATTCTGCATAGCGTTTGAAGAAATATGAATCAGGACACTTTATCAAGGGATTTATACTGATTAAATGCCTCAAGGGTCTTCAGGTTTCCAACAAGGAGAGCAATAGTATGTATAATTTGGAAATAAAGCTTTCCTTGGCTTCAACAGAAGCTGAATCGGTTAGGAGAATATGGTTTATCTGTCAGTGTTCCAAGTAATGCACGCATTGCAAGCAGAATTCCAAGGCAGGCAGGTTCCTGAAAGAACAATTTTATTGGACACATCATATTGGCACAACTGTTGAAAACCATCTCTGAAGTTCCCATGGTTTTCACCTAGTTAAAAAATGAAAGTTTTCCCCTTTTCCCCCAAGTCATCAGTCACATTGTCCAATGGAGGTGGTGAATGCTTGCTTGGTTACTCTCCTCTTCCTCTGTCTCAGGCACCTTATTGGAATGACCTTGGTTCCCACAAGAAACTTTTATGTTTTGACTACCTCTCTATCTATCTCCCCCCCCTCCCTGTCCCCTCTCCTGCCTTGTGGCAACCCTGAAGCCTCCAAGATGGCCTCAGCCAGGTTCGCTTCAGGGATGACATTATCTATCACGAATGGATTTGAGAGTTTTCTGAAGTTGTGGAAGTGTAGAGTTGCCATAAAGGGATCTATGCTGGTCCAAAAGCCCACCCTGATGCTATTTACATTTCTATTATCTGTGATCATTAGCCATGTTCATCCTGCAATTTCCAAATTTGTGCTTCACAGCTTGCTTCGCCCCACGGGGTAACGTAAAACAATCCGCAGAGTGAAAGGGTGGAAAATATAGATTTGGAGTCTTTCAAATCTCCTTTTGTGCCCTTTCCTTTGCCTTGTCTGAGCAGCCATTGATACTCAGTTAAAAATAAACTCCATGTAAAACCATGTATTCTGCAATTGAATGGCGCTCTGATTTAGATTCCGAGCCATAGAGCTTCTGAGAGAATTAATATTTTTCTAAGCATAGCGGTTCTAATTATGCCGCACGCTAAAATGGCTGCCAGAGGCAAATACAGATGGAAGTGAAGAAGAAGAACGGGTGGAAAGCTGCCACAAAGATTCATCTTTCTTCTAAAGAAGTTAAATGTTGTAGATATTTTAAAAATCAAGAAACGCAGAGACTTTTTTTTTTTAAGGAATATGATGAATGTAACCCATGCAAGAAAAGAGTTCATGCAGGAGGGAGAAAAATATGTTTTTCACATCTAGAAGAATTAGAATTCTTTTATTGTCCAAGTGTGATTGGACACACAAGGAATTTGTCTTGGTGCAAATGCTCTCAGTGTATATAAAAGAAAAGATACATTCATCAAGAATTACTAAGAGCTAAGCACTAAGGGAAGGTACTTCATTAAGTGAAGTTTACTCCTACTTTGGAAGTAAAGTAACCCTCAAGTTTGATAGGGTTACGGTCTTTTTTTGTAGACCTGTACAAATTAGACTATACAATTGTTTGGCGACTGCAGCCAGGTATTTGATGGGATATAATACATTACATGCCTTATGAGGTTACTGAGGTAATTTGTCTGTAACTATGAGTAATGGGGCAGTACTACAAAAACCGTGTCCCAGAGTTGCTTTTTCAAAAGGCA